ATTCTGAGAAATCATTTTTTATTTTTAATGCAACCTTTGATTTTTGATAATTTTAATAATGTGAAAATTTTAAGCCTATCTCTAAAATGGTATATCAAATCTACTTAAAACTTTTTTACTAAAAGTTAGACTAATAGTCAATTAATAATTATGTCAAACCGATTATATCCCGTAACCAGAAGTGACCAAATTTAGGGACAATCAAAACCGAGTGGTTTTAAATAATTATTTTTAAAATACTTAATAGATGTGAGATGTCCTATAAAATTGATTATTTTTACTGGAAAATAGTCTTCATATATAAAAATTTCAATATCTTTCGTTCTACTTATAATTCGATAGAATTTTTATTAATATTTCTAAATTATGTATAATTAAAAAATAAATTACATTAAAATTATGATCCAAATATTTTTTGGTCATTTTGAGACTAAGTCAAGAATAAGAGTACAAATTTTTTTATAGTTTCATCAAAATTAGAAATAATGAATTGATTCGGATTTAATTTTTTTGTTGAAATATACAATTTGTACAATAAATTTGTGACTGAATTGACTCGTTTACTAATTATTAAGTGTTTATATATATAATCGCTAAGATTTTTTTTGTACAGTATATAGAAAACTGGAGTTTTTGAGTATTTGTAAGACTGCTTATCTGATTTTATACAATACTTGTGTTATATTTAAATGTTTTATACATTTTAAGAAATTGATTTTATTTTTATTTTTTTTAATTATTACCAAAAATCAAAACAATTAATAGTTTGATTTTTGCAACAATTAAACAGTTATTAACAATAAATATTTTATTTATAGTACGACTCATATGAACTAATAGTTATCATCAATGACTATAGAGTGTATACACTGTATACTAGAGAGCGAAAAGTTTCGGACCCGTACCTGACCCGTACCTGATCTGATACCTAAAATCTCGGACTCGGACCTGACCTAACATAGGGTACAAATTTACCTGACCTGACCTGACCTGACTATGTGGGTCCGAAAATAATTTTATCAAAAAACAATTTTATTTATTCTATACCCGCAACAAATTTCTCTAAATTAACTTTAATTACTCGGGATTAACGATAACTGATTGTAGATCTAACTTAGATTCTAATAAAGTTAATATGTTATTATTTATTAGATCAAAACCATCATCTTTTGTAATATTTTATGTTTAATTTATACAAATATTTTATAAATAATAATTTAATAAATTTTGTGTTTGATTGTCATATTTTGTAATAATTGTCGTTTAAATAATGAAGAAAAAATTTTCGGACCTGACCTGACCTGACCAAAAAATTTTGGTGTTCGGACCCGTACCTGACCTGACCTGAGCCCTAACTTTTACCTGACCTGACCTGACCTGAAAAATCAGGTCAGTTTTCAGTCTCTACTGTATACTATACAGTATTCCTAATAAATATCTTAAATGGTTATAAAGTTATGATAAATACATATATATATAAATTTAGTATTTGGATTATATTATTTATAAGGAGTAATATATGTCTTTAAAGTTTGTTTCTGGCAATGCTTAATAGCATTCTCTATTGTTTTAATTGTAATATTTATTTTATATTTAATTAATTAAATAAAATATAATATTATAAAATATATTTAATGATATGTTACAATTAAATATTCTAAATATATTTATTAAGTGTATCATTTTCATAAAAAATATTCAACTATTAATATTAATAGTATCTAGTATTTAGTATATAGGGTTATTATATATTTAGCTAAAATTAAATTAATTAGTTTTAAGGAATATATTTAAGATATACAAAGATATGTTTTATTACTTGTTTATACTGTATGTAAAATGTGTGAAATATGTGTAGAAAGAGATAAACAAATTATTTTAAAACAATTTAACTTAATATAAATAGAATATTTAGTTGCAAATAAATGCTAATAAATACTGTAATTTCTATACTTATATGAAACCCTATTATTGATCATTTAAACAGTTAGTCAACGCTTTTAAGTATTTATTTTCCGTAGTTTATAGGGTATACAAAACAATATTAATATATTGTGAAAAATAATAGTTTACTGTAATAGTATTGGTTTGGTTAGTATAATATACTTCTATGATATATAATATAATATATATGTTATATATATACAGTATATACAGTATATATAATATATTAACGATTTAGAGAATGGTCTGAATGTGACTGAACTATACATCATCTCTGACTAAATGATGGATGAGTTACTACCAGACAAAGTGAATGAAGAAAATATGAGTTTCACTACACTATTAGGGCTGAACTCTATAGTGACTAAAGAATCGCTTTTAAGTTTGCTTTATATACAGTCTGTTATTATTAATATATATCAATAATATTCAATACAGAATACTATACAATGTATTAATACTGTATGTGTGCGGGAGTTGAGACAAATGTGTGCAACAAATAATGTGTTTGCAATGGTAACTAAATTTATATTTAAAATATAATATAAAAGCAATCATATTGTTGTCATTTAATTGTCATTCATTTGTAGTTATTATTATTTAATCGTTGGCTGTATCTTACAGTACAAGTCATTCAAACCATGCATATCATACAATCGATATCATTTTGGTTGCAATTTTACACTACAATTGCATTTGCAGTTAAAGCACTATAAGAGGAGATGCAAAATGCAATTGCCTTTAACTATACCACCCAGAGATTCAATATAAAGAATCGGGACATTACCGACCATTTTTCATAACAACCACAAAAAACAGTTATTTTTTAGACAGTGGCGGAATTACACATATCATACAACTAATACATTACTTTCCTATCAATTAGATAACACAATAGAGAATGCATGCATTGTAATTGAATATAAGATTACCTGAAAAAGTATATTAAAATTTTATCATTTAATTCAAGTAATATACTATATATAAACTATATTTGAGTTGTTATTATAGTAGGCATTCCGTCACTGTTACGGTCAGAGAGAAAGCATTGTCGACCAAAGGCTCGATCGCCCGCTGTGTTTGCATTTGGGAACAACTAAAGAGCTAAACAACTAAACGATGACAATCACTATATATATAAAACACAAACAGCTTTGTTGCTCTCATACCATATATTCAATCCAATACTACAGTACTGTATATTCAATACAATATACGGTACTGTACTGTAGATCTGCCATTCTTATAGACTCATACTATAAAAACTTTTCCATCTCTCTCTCTCTCTCTCTCTCTCTCTCTCTCTCTCTCTCTCTCTCTCTCTCTCTCTCTCTCTCTCTCTCTCTCTCTCTCTCTCTCTCTCTCTCTCTCTCTCTCTCTCTCTCTCTCTCTCTCTCTCTCTCTCTCTCTCTCTCTCTCTCTCTCTCTCTCTCTCTCTCTCTCTCTCTCTCTCTCTCTCTCTCTCTCTCTCTCTCTCTCTCTCTCTCTCTCTCTCTCTCTCTCTCTCTCTCTCTCTCTCTCTCTCTCTCTCTCTCTCTCTCTCTCTCTCTCTCTCTCTAAATATCTTACAGTACTAAAAATACATTATTTTTATGGATTTTATGATATTATTAACATTTTTATAAACTAACATTTTTATTCAATTGTCTACAATGTTTAGCTTTCAGAAAAATACTAAATAAAAAATAATTTTTTGGTCCAAAAAACTCTTATAAATAATATATTGTATACAAATCGGGCTTTTATGGTAAAGTAGTTTTCATAGTATTTATAAAGTTTGCTTAACCTATAATATAACAATGAGATTGAACTAAAAGTTTGTGTAGTATATCCCCAAATGAATCCCTACTAAAGCCCAACATATTGAACACCCCATTGAACACCCCGTTGTCTATTGTTTGGACGGAAATGAATGTGATATTCATTTAAGTTCAGCCCTTGAGCTAAGTTTTTATAGCTTTTATTCATTGAGTTATGAATTCATATTTGACTCTCTTGTCGGTTGTCTATCACTTATATAACACTATAATAACTCTGAAACACTCAGTTTGTTTGTAATCGTCAGGACTGAGCTTTCAATTAAGTCGATGCCATTTATAAGAGTAGTAGTCCTGCTATTAGGCGTGACTTTTAAATCAACTGTAATATTGATGCTATATATATATATATATACTGTATATATTGTATATATATATTGATGTATTGAATATATTAATGTTATATTGCTTCGCATCCGCTTATATTTGTCACTTCCGTCTCTATCGACACTCAATTATAATCTTGATTTTGATTCACTATTGATCAATGTTGCCATCAATTGTTATTATTATATTATATAAACAGCATAACTAAGTTAACAATTTGTAAAATATGTTAAAATACTTACTTAAAAGTTAATATAAAATTAAATAAATAAATTATGAATAATAGTAACAAATTGATTGAAAACATTACTTAACATTGAATATTATAAATCAATTTATTTATTTATATATAATGTATATCTTATCTTACATTCTATTGAATACTAAAATAAGTGCATTACTTAATACAGTAAAATGTTTGTCACATATTAACAGATTCAACTAAAACATAGAAAACCTCACTTCAAATAAAGTTAGTATCAATAGAAAAGTCTGAATATGACTTCACAGGAGGTTTAGTCAGATAATGACTATTATTTATGTATTCTTTTGGTGTCTTCAACAGAGAGGAAATGGAGACTAAGTGTAAGACTGCAGGAGATATGACTATTTCACTCCTTTACTACTCTATATATTGTCAATAAAGACAGACATATGATATTATGTTATCATTTTGTTTTTATTCATTAAAATCATTACATTGATTACAATTTTGTCACTTTAAATACACATATAAAAAATGACAGTAAATATACATGCAATATTAATATACAATAGTTAATTAAATTATCAAAATAATTATAAATAATAATTTACAATACATGCATTCATAATTTGCATAAAAATTGAATCATTCAAAATTAAAATACAATAGCTATCGAAATTGAATTAATTAAAATATTACAAATGATTTTTAAATTAAGAATCTATTTCAATGTCACTAACAATATTTTCTTCTTCTAGTTTGGGAAATGGTAGTAATGTATCACTTGAAGAACCGGGCGATGATATAATATTAATTGTTCGTAAAGTACTTGAAATGGGCAACAATGAGGAGCCGGTAGATAAACTAGGGCTCAAGCCTTCGGTAATATTTGATGATAGAGTGGGACTCATAGCTGTGTTGACAGTTATCGGTACAGATGGTGGTTGTGATATATGTGATGAGGTCTTCATTGTTAATATAACACTGTTTCCAGAAATTAAATTGTTATTATTGTTAATATTATTATTAGTATTAGAATTATTTGTATTATTTTTATGTGGATTACGACAACCCCTACACTTGCATTCAAAGCAACCCTTGCCGTCCACATAACAGGGACACCGCTGTCCACAACAGGTAAGTTTGCCCGGATTAGGTGTGGCTAAACCACACCGACAACCACGACGTTTAGCCTTAGCCTTCGCTGAAGTAGTGTTTGCGCTACGAATTAGTGAAGAGCCGTTTGTCAATAAAGCGTGAGAACCTAAAGTCATGTGATTTGTCGTATCATTTGTGGCCGCACTAGTGGTTGATACTATTGGACATTTTGCCGACGTATCGTTATTTTCGTAACCATTATTACGGTTAACATTATTTTGCAGAAGAGTGTTATTATCCTTTTTAACGACAGTATCACTAGAAATGCCGTTCACTACAACTTTGTTATTCGTCGTGTTATTTGAGTTGACTGGACCCGTGTTTCCTGAATTGGTGGTCGCCTTGACTCGTGCGTTACCGGCCACTGACCGCGAATAACCTCTAAGAGGTGGTGGCTCTGAAAAACTATACTTATCGTGTAATTGTGAGCCTTCTTCAAGAAGTTCTGCAAAACTCATATTAGTTCCCGAAGCAGAACCACTGGTTAGATCTCCCCACTTATGGTGCAAGTCTGCAGACATCATAAACTGACAGACATTGCGATAACATTGCAGAAGAATCCTTAACTGAGTGTTTTCCACAAACTTTGAGTGATCTTTACACCTGAAGAAGACTATATTAAAAACATTGATTAACTAAATAATTATTAGATGTAATACCAACTGCACGATGGCTTTAACCGCATTTTGCCGCCGACACAGGCCTTACACACGTGATGTTGACACGAACTGACAGTTGAAGACATGGGAACTGTTAAGAGTTGTCCGCAGACACAACAGGTCAGTGCCTGTCTTAAGTAAAGTACCAATCGGTTGATGTCAGCCCACGCGCCCATGTCTTCACATGAAGACTGAAATATCATACGACAAGTGGTCACATAAAGACTCAATGCATTCATTGTCACCACAATTGGTCTCAAAGATCACCCAATCGTCACAATCTATAGCTTTGTTTACATTCAACTCATTTACACTACATTTGCATACAATAAGAGTCAATACAGTGTTCACTGCAATACATCACTCATTCATATATAACGTACATATTATAAACATAACGTAATTAATGTATGAATTATTGAATTATTTTGTCATTTTTGTCGATAGTATTGATAGTAATGTCTTTGAAAGCCATCACCAGATTTGGTCCACATCTTAAAGAAGTTAGACTTCACTTATGTCTGACCACCGAATCCAGTGCTGGTGTCAGGTATGGCCTCTGAGTGATAGCTTGTCATTTGATTATTGATTTATATCTGCCATTTGATGACCTCTTCAGAGAGTTTATATCTAAACACTACCATCGCGTCAAACAAACGAATCCCAATCTTCCTATTCTTATACGTGAAGCCAAAGACATTGAACCGATGCTTTGGATCCGTTTTGGTCAGTCATTACCTAATCAACAATAAATTCAATCAATTAATTTCTGTCAATATTTCAGAATATGGTCGCGAAAGAAATGTTTCCGTTACGGGACTCAGTGGTGACCAACTGTTGCAAACAATACAAGACTTAGCTATTGATAGACAAAGTTAATTGAATTCATTTATTGTTATTATAAATATTATTTAGTTTTAGTCTAATATTGATTGCAATTAATACCAATTATATGGCTATCACTTACAATAATAGACTTTCAATAAACTATACAATTATTTAGTGTTATTTACAAAATATTTTCAAATATACGGTATAATGAAGTTTGAGTTTAATTTGAGTGCAATTTGAGTGCAATTTGATTTTAATTTGATTTTAATTACATCAAATTAAATGGACATATAGTATATAATTATAGAGTAATGCTATTAATAGTTAATAAAATGTAATTCAAATAAGTCGTAAACTTATATAACAAACAATTGTTTTTATAAAAATAACAAAATGTTTTTATTTACATTATTTAATGTAAAACTTTGATTACCGGTAAGTTATATAAAGATAATTTCGATTTCAGACAAGTCCTTAGCTTTTGAGAAAATGTTTAACTAAATGTGTTTTCAATTGAGGAATATTTGCAATCTTTAGTCTACAAAAATGGCAAACTATCTCTTGTTTTAATAGATGATTACATTCCTCATCAGTCAATGCTTCAACTTTATCAAATTGGTTGAGATTGTCGATGACAGCTAAAGACAATTAGACAAATTTGAGACATTAATTAAATTGTGAACATTTTAAACAATTATTTCAATTACTTTTAGAATCAATGAAGAAGTTAGTGGTAAACGAATTGTAGTGTTTTTTCGTCTTTAGATACTTTGAGTCAAAGTCTTGACTAATAACATGAAGATGTAATGGTTTTAAACTGGGAATCCTATGAAAACCAAAACGAAACGCAATATTTGTGTTCAATTTATGTGATAATTGGTTGCCTTTATCTGTCATATAATCAATTAGTTGGACGTGACATTTGGATAAATCTTCAATTGAATTGATACCAATGTCTTCATTGGGAATCACCATAAAGTGATGGCGAGACTTAAAAATATATAGACATAAATATTTAGTGATATTAGAGGACAAACTTAAATACCATACCTTAGGATATTTGTCTTTTATGATTGTAATCAATTGATCCTTTAAGACAATCAAATTCGGGTCTTTGATAGCATGAAATAAGCAATTGGTCCACGAGTTGGACATTTTGGTTGATTTCTTTACCATTAATGGCTTGTCATGTGTTTGAGTACTTCTTTTCATGACTTATAACAAGTATTAATCAAATTGTAATTAAAGTCTAATTAATATTTATATCTTTTATGTTAATTATAATTATAATTACATTTAAATTTATATCATATGTTAGTATTGTTTATGACATCTATTATAATCAATAGACAACTCTTCAATACATTTGTGACGTCAGATGACATCACTTGTTATACAGTAATGTATTAAAGTATATAATAATAGTGTCTATGAATTGAATAAATTTGTGTACAGAATGTATGAATGCATTGCATTAGCGCTAAAATATCGTTGAATTGAATGAATCAATGAATGAATGTTTAAATGAAGACAACAATGAATAATACAATCAATACAATCACGAGAAATGATGTCATCGATGGTAAAGACAAAGACATGATCTTAGAGGTGAACCGACTTAAGTCATTCAAGAGTTGGCCATTCAGGTCAGGAAATTGTACCAAATATACGGTAATGTATATACATTTGTATTGATATTATGTTTATAACTGATGACAATGTGTGACAATAGGTGAGTGTCAGTGGTTTCTATCACTGCAATATTGATGGCGAAGTCGATGGCGTCCGATGTTTCTGCTGTTTCAAAGAGTTGGACGGATGGGACACCACTGACAACCCGCAGATTGAACACAAACGCAACAATAACTGCTATTTCGCTAATTTAGGAAAACCAGAGTCACAACTGACTGTCAAAGAGTTTCTTAAAGTAATGGAAGAAAGAGAAGTGAATCTTATGGTAACACAAACACTATTACTGATATCTATATTGTTATCAAATGACAACCATATTGTCTATCACTTGCAGAACTTACGCATTGAAACAATGAATGAAATGGAGAAACTTGTTATCACCGAATTGGGTCTCAAGATTGACGACAAGATTTATTGAACTTTAAATACATTCAATGGTTAATACATTTATTTATTATTTTAACAAAGTTATAAACTATGAATTTCATTATAACATCTAATAAATACATCAAATACTACCGTACAGTATATCATATATAAGTGATATTAAACTTATTTTTAATTACTGATAATAAAGTTTGAATAGTAATTGATTTTTGAGTAGTATCTAAAATTTACATACATTTCTATGATTATGTATTGTATAATTTGATCATTACTTATATATTATTTTTGCTCCTAAATGGCACTTGAAATATAAGCTATTATTGCCGGTAATTGATAAAAATATTACGGTAAGTAAAATATGCATTACATTTAATATTACCGGTAATTAATTTTTAAAGTATTTAGAAATTAGTATAAATGCATTATAAGTAAGAGTTTAATCGGCTTATTGTTGTGCTATAAAAATATTATTTAATTCATTGACGAGAGTCTCGTACCGATACATAATCCTAATGCTGGGAACATTAGTTCGCTGAATATCATTGCCGGCCACTCCTTCAGCTCTATAATTGGGTCCAATCCAATGTTGTTTGAATTTATGAGGAAAGCCTGACATTATGACACTATTGCGGGCCAATTCACACATATCACAACTACTCAATTTCCATACCTGTGCTGCAATTGAGTACTCTTCCATCAATGGTTCCTACCGTAAGTAAAGACAATTATTGGTAAATAAATTGAATAAAAGTGTTGTAAACTAACTTTTGTAAAGTGGAATTGCAAGGGATCGTCGGTAGACAGAGACACACATAATCCTCGATATAAAAAGTCAGGCAAAGGGTTTCGGTGGTAATTAAGAAACAGACTATTATTGGACAGCGGACTCATTGCAATACCAATCTGTGCCAAATAATAGAGATATTGAAGAACTGGCACTTTTCTCAAAGATAAACCATGAGATATGTTTTCACTTAATAGGAAACCTCCGACCAAATGTTGAATATTACCGGCTTCTCCACAATGTGGACGTAATACAAAAGTATTGAAACCCCGTTCCCTATAATAAATAATTTAATAAAAATCATTAGATATCATGTGATAAACTTAAACAATAAATGACTTACTTTCTAAAGTGATTGAGAACACACATATTCGCGTACATATAGTAAAGATAATAATTGCTGTAATAGACGTCAAATTAAGTTAACATTAGATCTCCCAAAAAATATATAAATGCATACTATGGAGGGTTTTCCTCGTCTACCCATTTCGGGGGGATTTGTATCTCTTTATCAAACAACGGATTCTCATGTTTAGACTCGTCGTCCACTGAATCAAAACCAATAACATACTGAAGAAAACAATGCAATTCTGGGTGTGAATTAGGACTATTGGTTGCTTCAAATAGTGGTAAAAATAGATTTTCCAACATTTGTTCAAAGTTTTCAAATAATCCATTTGCTCGATAGACATCACTTTAATTTCAATAAAATACAGTATACAAGAATTGATTGTAATTAAAAAATAATAAAATAAATAATTACTAAAGTCGTGGTATTTGAATAATCCAACGAACAGTATCTGAATATACGTTGTTTTTAAGCGCCCATTTGGCCAACGCATCCCATTCACCCTTTTTGCGGCCATATATTGATAATCTATTTGAAAACATAATAAATAACAAATCATTACTAATACTAATAAATGTAATATAGCGGTAAATACCTTAATTCAGCTTGTTGATATTTTGATTCCTCTAAGTCCATCATAACTTCTCTAAGAATTCCAGCGTAATATTCGCCATCGATATGATTGTCCGCTTTGAGGAATATCTCTCTGAGTCGACTTTCGCCAATAGGATTGTATTTAGTGTTAAATTTATCAAATCTATGAAACGTGTTTCTGTCGGCGTGAACGTCAAGCATATCAACACTCAAGTCATATGAAGTGAGATTCAATGAATTGAAGACCTGTTCCAAAGTCAGTTCTTTGCCGTTCTCGACAACCACTTTATCATCCTTTCGAGTCTTAATTGTCTTCTTAATGAATCGCAATAAATGTTTTTGATTCATACAAGAAGCCGCGTGAACGTGAGTGTCCACTTTGCGGACGTTATAGAAGTCTCGATGCGGAACCAGTTTCTGTGCTTTAAGCTCTTCCAAGTCATTCAAAAGAACGTGAAGTTGAAATTTGTGCGACAGATAAGCCAAACGCTTAAAACAGTGTGATTTAAGCGGTCCGTCGCCTATAATACGACACAAAAACTTCATGTCGTCTACAAAAGCATTAAATGTGGTCACAGAGTAGGGAATGCCTTAAAAAAAACTAACATTTAGTTTACATATTAACGACAATGTCTTTTAACTAACGATTTGATTTATTCAAATCATCTTCATTTCTATAAACACCAATAACTCCGTCCTCTATCTTACAAATATAGTTCAAATCGGGTGATAGTGTTGTACCCCACGGGTCGTCAATAAAAGGTGGTTCATCGCCATCACCTGTATAAGTGTTGGTACAGATTAGTTAGGATTTAAAGGATATCAAGACGTGTACTGACCTGAATCAGGTGTATTGATTGTCTGACAATTGGGATAAATAAACTTTTTGGTGGTTTCACAGAAACTCTGTTGTGAATCAATCATATATTTATGTCTTAATTTAAGACTCCTTTGCAGATCTGAATTCTGTTGTTTCTGTTCTTCAGTTAATATCTTTCCTTCGACTTTATCCATGAGTTGGAGATACCTTTGTTGTTGATATTCTTGATTTTCTTCAGGAGTTTCGTTTTCTTCTTCGTTGTCGTCGTTTTCTTCAATGTTTTTTGTCGCCATTTTTGGTCAATAATTGTTTTTTTTGTCGAAATTGTTTACATAAACATATGACTGATATATGACTGCAAAATATAGACACAGTTTTATACTGTATTACCGTTTAATAAACTCATAAATTATTTTTTGTTAGAAATAAATTATGTTTACATTAATTTTATTTTAAAAATCTCGTTATAAAGTGATAAATCTATAAATAGTTTAACCAAAATATATGTAATATTTAATCAATATTTGAACAGTAATTTCAAAGTGAATAACAAACGATATAAACATAAATTATAATTTAATACAATATTTAATTATGACATTTAAATTGTTTAATATTACTATTAATTTTAATATTACTATACAATTTATATAGAGTATATCATATTTTAATTGAAAATATTTAATATTAATAAATATCATACAATTAATTAATTAATTAAAAAATAAAATATTCACAAAAATCAAACTAATTAAGGAATAAACCAACAAATATTTTCCCTCCTTTTATCATAATTAAGTAATACATTTGTTGGTTTAAACACTTAATCTGAGTTTAATTAAGTTATTTTAACAATAATTTTTACCAATTTATTTTAATTATATTTATCCACATACAGTATATTACATACTTTATAATAATTGTTTTGTAAATTATCACAAAGAGGGCATATTATTATACAGGTATCTTACAATATTAATTTATACAATACTAAAAACATTATTAAAATAGACTTAAACTAGTAAAACAAAAGATAAAATATTAATATAACATTTAAATTACAAATATTAAAAATTATTTTTATGTAATATAATCTTCGTTTAATTTACAATAAAAATAATAGCATAGTTATATTAAATTGCTATTTAATAAATTCATGTAAAAATCTATTTTGTAAAAATTTAATTATATAGACATATTATTATTATGTAAAGGCATATTTGGAAAATATTTTCCGTCAATTTTCTAAAGCAATACTGAAAGTTATGGAAATTTGAAATTTTAATAATGGGAATTTGCTATTTAACACAAAAAGTATACATATATTTATAAAAATAATAGAAAATTATTTTTTTTTATTTAATTATGATTAATATAAAAAATATATTTAATAAACACATATTACCTTCTTTTTAAAGATTAAAATAAAACAAATAACTAGAATTAGTAAACAATTAGAAAATTAATGACAATTGTTAATAATGTCTTTTATAGTATTGTCTCCATAATTGTCAAATAATACAACAAATGGTTGAGAATAAAAAATGTAGAGAATAGCAGAGGGGCTGAAACATAAATTTTTATAATATATAAATTAAAGTTTTATTATATTTTATAATTATATAATTTATATAAACTTTAATATAATTATAAATATAATTAGAGCCATTGACCATGATGATTTTATAATATAATTATAACAACAAATCCGATGCAAATTGGTTTTTGTCGATTTATAAAATGTTTTGGTTTCGATGTAGTGTTCACTAACTACTATACTAGTGTTCACTAACATATTTCACACAATTATAATTTATAAATAGATTTTTTAAATTATATATTTCGCATATTTTTTGTAAAAAATATTTTAATTATTTAATATAAAACCAGATAAAAACCAGTTGAGAATGCTTTAAAAGCATTTCCATACGAATTCCTTAACTTAAAAATGAAAAAAATTAAAAAAAAATTGTAGCGGAGTCTGGATTCGAACCTATGTCCTCGTGGGACAGACAGTCCGACAGACAGACTTTTAGAATGCATATACGTATTCCTTTCAGGAATTCGTGAAAAAAATATATTAAAAATTCAAAATTCACTTTTATTGAAAAATAAAAAAATAAAAAAAATAAATAAAACATCTAGAGGAGAACTTCTTGTGATATCTTATACTTCATTTTTGATGCTTTACACAAATTTAAATTTTAAAAAAACAAAAAAATATATTTTTTAATTTTTAAAAGCTATTTTCTCTATGTTCCTGATGAAATATCAAAATTTCAATACTTATCCCAGCTCATTTTTGATGCTTTATCAAAAAATCAAATAAAAAATTTCAAAAAAAAATTCAAAATTTGCGCCATTTTGTTTATTTTCCTGAAAAATTAGCTTGAAAAATAAAAAAAAATAAAAAAATAAAAAAAAATCACAAAAAAATGTATAGCTGAACGTGGATTCGAACCTATGTCCTCGTGGGACAGACAGACAGACAGACGGACAGACTTTTAGAATGCATATACGTATTCCTTTCAGGAATTCGTGAAAAATCTGCACCTAGCATTGCCAGGTTAAATTTTATACAGAATTTTTGAAGTTTTTTCAATCATGTTTAATCAAACATAATATGCATTATAACATACTGTATATGAATCGCACATTCGAACATCTGTAAATTATAGATATTACATAATAGTAGAAAATAATTTTTAAATAACCTTGGACAACTATATTTAGCGATTTATTTAGATCTAGAATTATAGGATTATTAGAAACTATAAGAAAACATTAGTTGCATTCAAATAAAGTTAAGAAAAATGTCATTAAAAAATCTAATAGTATTGAAAAGGTATCAAAAATCAAATTCTACTTTTAATGTTATTTGAATTTAAAATAAAATGTAATAATTCCGAAATAGAAAATAATTTATAATAAACAATATATAATATACAAACTGAAAAACAATTCAAATACAACTCCTTTAATGAGTTTGTGATAAAATAACTGTACAAATGTATCGTACAAATTATAATTATAAATAATATACTGTGTTTAGGGTTAAGCAAGGGGTAGGGGTAAGGCCTGACCCCCTAAGATTGAAAAGTTAGGATTTTAATATTTATAACATATGAATGTAATTATTAATTGAAAATAAGTAAAATAGTTAAAATCACGTTATAATTTAAATATAACATTATTTTAATTAAAATATTCAACTAAAAAATTAACTTTGTTGAAAAGATTGTAATCATATTACAATTTAAATAGAATTTTAAGATAAATAAACAGTAAAATAATATATATATATTGTATATGATAGTTTTTATTAATATTTTTAAAAATTTTAGTTGAAAATTGGAAAATATTTTCAATTTTATAATTACTTGAACACACAAGCTTTAACTAAAATTAAGTTAAATAATTAGTATTCAGTCATTATTTATATAAAAATAACAAAATAAAAATATGTACCTATAAACTTAAAAAATAACTATGATTTTAAAAACTTTAATTATGTTATAAGTAGAATTTTATTTAAAAATAATTAAAATACTAAAAATAACTGATTGTGTATTATTATTTATTTTATAATTTAAAAAAATATTTTGAAAAATGTAATTTATTAGAAATATTTACCTATTTTCCTGGGAATATTCGGAAAACTGCAGTTTAAAAATGCAATAAATATCTACACCCACCCTATACCCCAAGATTTTTCAAGATTGTTGTCAATTGACCTCTTCCTAACCCCCCTAAAATCCAATACCTTACTCAACCCTATTATTTATAGAATATAACATCAAGATTAAGATATTATAATATACTATACTTTAGTTGAAGTTATAATTTATAGTACGGTAAATAATAAAGTCATATTTATTTAATAAGTTAATGTCATAAAATGTTGTAATAAATGTATACTTATGTAAAATGAGATAATAACTGTATATATGGTAGTAAATTATACAATATTATAGTACAGTACAGTACAGTACAGTAGTCAACATTTATGATAGCATAACAAATGATTAGTTGTGAATAATCCAAATGTCTATCGATTTTATATTATTTTATCACTTGTAGTGAATGACTACAATATTTAGTCACATTTCAACCATTTGTTTGACACTTAAGAAATGCTTTGCTTTTATGGCTAATAAAAAGCTAATGTAAGCAAAAATCTCAGCAAATATTTTCAAATCATATGATAACATAAGTGTCTTAATATGGCATTGTATTGAATGCTAAATAAAAATATTAGATTCATTTATATTAAAATTTGTATGTTTTATACATTTTGTAATATAAACTATAATAAGTGTATAAATGGATGAATATATTTATATTTTGGTTTTTATTTATTTTTAATATTACATATTCTTTGTTTATAAATTAATAAAGTAATTCAAATAAAATATTAAACATTTATTTGACAATTTAGACAACATTTGTATGAATTTTGTTTTTAAAATAAATCAATAATAATAATAATAATAATAATGGTATTAAATGAGAAAATTTGGTGTCATTTAGCAATTGGTTTATCACTTTTGGGAGTATTTATTACAGCCATAGGAATCACATTACGATTGATAGCAAACTCTAACTCAGACTTAACCAAAAAGACACGATTAGTGTCCACTATATTAACAATTATAGGATGTGTTGTCATTATTTCAATCAATGTATGTCTTGTAGTAATGATTTGTCAGAAAAGATTCAAGAGTTGTCACAACCAAAGCAAAGATAGTAATAAAAGAGTGAAACCATTGAAACTATTGCCTACCAGTGATGACCAAATGACCGACAACTTTGACCAACAAATGTCAAGCAGTGTTGCGACGCCCAACTGGTCTTATCACTCAAGAGTTGATTTACAGACAACACATGCATTATTGAGTGATCCCAAGAGGTTAGTTAGGCCTCCCTTACAGACCAATCGTCAATATCATCTCTAAATGTCTGATATTTCATATATAAATCCAATTATTTTAATCGACATTATTATTGTTTAATATTACACATTATTATTATTATTAGAAATTTTATTATTATTATTATATGAGAATATTATATAAAGTTAATGTTTTACATTCATTTACTTTATTAATACAGTATTATGTCTATAATATTTTATTATAAATAATATATATATATATAAAAGTTATGCAAATCAGTCAATTATTTATTGAATGATTGAATTTTAAGGCACAAACAAGTTATTACATAAATCAATAACTTTAGTATTTTGATCGCTAAAATTCTCATTATTTGTATTGCAATTTATATAATAAAATAGTTTACAAAAAGTTTTTATTACAAATATATCTGTGTTAACCTAATATAAATATCACATTTAAATGTAAAATTATATATAAATTATATATACTGTATATCATACAGCCTTTACTCTATATTATAAACATATTATACAACAAAATAAACAAAATAATAATTAGTTTAAGAAATGAATGTTAAAGCATATGAATGTCATGAGTTGGTCGGGACTTAAGGTTTCCATTCTTGAGAATTGACTTCAATTTAAATGAATCAGAATTTGATTGAATTTTAATACTATTATTCTGTATATAAACTACAGAATCGTTGACTAATGTATTGCTTGTATTCATATGATTGCAATAGTTATTGAGTTGTTTTTGAGATAATGTGCTATAATTTTCATCGACTATTGTCTCCATTTCATAGCTCTTATGGAAAATAAAAATAAATTTTATTAATTTTGATAGTCATTTATGAACATAATAAACAATAATATACTAAACTCTAGTTTTCTTACTTCAATATTAGGGTTTTTGATAATATCAGGACAATCGGATGCCTCTAATGATAAGTCTTTATTTTTATGAGAGTTTTGACAATTTCTAAGCAAAACGTGAGATAATGGTTGTTGTAGTGATGATGATGAAGAAGAGTTGATATCATTAAGAAGAAGCACTTGACAGTGATCGCCATTGTCTGTACTTTCAATATATGTCAACTGTTTGTCTATCGGTATTAAAGCACTGGTCATATCAGTCATATCAGTGCTCTCGTGAGTCAAGCCCTTCATAAGAGTCGCTTCTCCATTAACGACATCTTTATATAGATTTGCATGATTTTTGTTACCAGCACTTGATGTTTGGTTATTATTATCTTTATGTCTACTTTGCACTTGTTTTTTCCATTTATAATAACACAACAGTAAACCGACATTCAATATAATTAAGATAAATCCCGCAAATAAAACAATTATTATAATAATAGAAAATGATTTTGAACTCAGATCTGACTTTTGTTTGAAATAACTATCAATGAGTGGTTCACTTGAATCAAATTCTGAACCATAAGTTGTGGCATATATTGTATTATTTGATTCATCACTGTTTCCAATGACATTGAAAGCAATGACAACAAAGTAATACTTGGAATCACTATCTAATCCCTTGATTACAATCCAATTCTTGTTCGTCTCTTTTGTCTCAAAATTAGTTGTTCCGATAGCAGAATACTTGACTCGAAACGACTGATCGATTCCGCCATCAAAAGTCGGTGTCCAACTCAAGAAAGCACTGTTATGTGTGATATTAACGAGTCTAACATCGGAGGGCGGGTCGGGTTTCCCTCGTTTTCTTAATTTAATGACTATTTGTGTCTCTCCCTTATCATTGTTTGCAATACATTCAAATGATTTATTCAGTTCACTATCAGTTAAGCTTTTTATAGTTAGAGAGCTCTGAAATAATGTGTCAGAAATTTGCTTTCTTTGTAAAGCATAGCGAAAATATTTAACATTATTATTGACTAACAATTCACTCTCAGTCGTCAATATCTCATTGTCGGCGCCCAACCATTTGAAGTGAACAGTGGGGACACCGCTTGCGGTACATACCATCCGAACACTTTCGGACGCTTCGGCGGCCACATTGACGGTCGTCATGTTTGACACTATTTCCGGTTTATTTTTTATCAGAAGCACTATTCTCTCTATTGCTTTCTCTCCAATACCATTATTAGCTGTAAAACATAACTAATATTTAAAGATATCCTTAAAAAAAAAGTTTAACTTAAAGAATATATCCTTTTAGCATAATTTAATAAAACGGATCAAAACTTTAGTTTTAAAATAAACCTTTTTAAATGCAAGCCATTAAAGAAAACAAAAATAGGTTTTAAAATATAAATTTATACAAAACATAAATGCATCTAAAAAAAGCTTTGACTTAATATTAAGTTAAATAAAACATTACAATAAGTGGTATTATATTTGAATATAAATTGTAAGACAAACCCCAGCACTCATATACTCCACTATCGGTGTCGGCGTTAACATTGGAAATGGAGAGAACAGACTTTCCTCTTTCGTTGTGAACATTAATTCTGTCATCTTTTAAGAAATTAGTATTTCCTTCTCTTTTCCATACAATCAGTTCATCACTCATTGGATTAGCCACACAAAGACAATAGAGTTGTGCAGATTCTCCGGAATCAGTTATTACAGTCTTAGAGATATCAACTATAATTGGAGCGACTTTATCAACGACAACAATACAAGACAATTATATAATATTACATATATTATAGTGAATATAAGCATAAAGTGTGCAAATATATGAATAATATAATACAAACAGAAAACATTGATTAAAATGCTGGTTTTGGTGGTTCCCTCGCTATTAGTGGCTTCACAATCATACTCTGCCGCGTCCTCTCTTAATATGTTTTTTATAGTCAAAATGGGACCATAAGATAATAATTGGTGTTGTCGTCTCTGGTGTTGCTTTTCAATAATAACAACATTACTTAATGTTGTTGTTTCCGATATATCAAACAGAGGAAGACTATCTTTGGACCAAATGTAGGAAATGAGTGATGGATTGCCTCTCGCCGTCAAATTAACAGAAATGTCGGCGCCTTCAATCACATCGTATTTTTGTAAAGGCGGTACCAAAAATTGAGGCCTAACTATATATTCAAGTTATATACCATTGATATAATTATAATCACAATTACTATTATATAATAAATGAGTTGCAACTCACATAAGACACTGAGTGTAATGTTAGTAATACTTCTTTTGCTGATAACTTGATTGACAGCTTCACATGCGATGACAGTGTTATCATCTCTTGTGGTGACGTCTAGTCTTAACTCGCTTTGTGTAGTCTTTCCACCGAATGGTACATTAGTTTCTGTTAATTTATTTTCTGTGCCATCAATTTGAAGACCATTTCGATACCAAAATAGTTGACACAATGGATTACAAGGACCGGAATCACACAATAAATTTAACACATCTCCTGATTTCACGTGTTTTGTCTTTAATTCAATGTTAACTGAATCAGTGATGTAGTGCACCGACAACTTTATTAAAGCACTTAATGGTCGACTTGTGGCCGTATTGGAAGTCTCGCATCTATAACTGGCACCGTTATCTGCTGGCTCTGCCCTAATCACGAGTTCGCTGGAAACACCACTTCCAGAGATTGAAGTCAATGCACTTATTTGTCTGTCAGAGTTGGTATCACTGTTTGCATTGATAACTTGCCAGCGAAGTGTCGGCAGAGGATTACCTCCCATCGAAACGCCTTAATTGATATCAATTAATGTTTTATATTAACCATAATAGTCTAATAATATTAATAATTAATTAAAAAAAATATGTAACAAATGCATGTTTTATGATTCAAAAATATTTCTTAATTGTAAACATTTATAATACAATTTTCTAAGGTATTAAAATAAATTATTAAAAAGTATTTAGTTATTGTTAGTTTTTCCACAATTTTCTAATTAATTTTAATATATCAAATATATAAAGCATAAATTTATAATTAATTAAGTTAAAATGAAAAAGCTATAAAGTAGATAATTTTCTCAAAAAATACATTTTTAAAATATTTATAAAATCTATTTCGTAAAATTTATTCAGTAATATCAAGCTATGATCACTTTAAAAAATAAATGTTGAATATAAATTATTTTTAAAAAATTATTAGATTTTATAATTGTTTAATTTAGATTTACTTTAATTCAGATCCAAATAACAATGCATTATATCTAAAAATACAACACCATCTTATAAAACAGTTATTTTAAAAAACCGATAGTAATATTATTATAAAAATAGTAATCCAAAAATATATTAAATATATAAAGCATATAATTTTATTTTATATAGATGTTTGAAAATACACACAAAATAAAAATATAAAATCAATGTTTCATATCTTTCTATCAAACTTAAAAATATATGGTATGTACTCTATATGTACTTCGTGTAAAACTTGAACATTAATCAAAATTTTATTTATACTTTCATATTTATCAAAATGTTATTTTTTGCTTGCTATTAATTTTTTTGTTTTACAAAATAGCTTTAATAAAATATAAAATAAATTAAATTAAAATTATTTAAATTTAAATCATATTTTTGTTACAATGTTCAATATACAGTATTATTATTAAATATTTATGTTTTTATAAAGCAATTGATTGAAAAAAAACTTTCTCAGCCAACATCTATAAATTGATGTTTATATATATTTAAACCCTAAAACATTTGATATAATTTGATGAAAATTTTTTATGAATAATTCATATTTGGTGAGAAAGCTTTTATCCGTTATAAAAAAGAGTAGATTTTAGATTAGATTTTGTCTACTTTTGACACATTTTTAAATGATAAATGCATACAAATGCAAAACGATAGACAATATATTTATAATATTTAAAGTGACTTACATTTAAATCTATAGAGTTCTCCCGATTCCAGTGCTGTTCCCTCTTTGAATCCTATAATATATGGCACACCGGGTGGGTCTATATATATATGACCATAAAATAAGTATTAATGCATTAAAATTAAAAGCAAAGTACTTATTATCATATAATTTATAATATATTTTACTAAAGTATATAATTTTATAGTAATATAAATGTTTACATAGAATATCAATATTTATTGTCTGAACAATTGTTTCTCCGATTGATTCAGAGACTGAATAACATGAGATTGTTTTGGTGTTTGGGTCGGCACTCGTCAATGTAAACGATACGTTTGATGCCGTCAACCATCCCTCCCGTGTCTCAATAAACCACATTTCTAATGGCAATACAGTGTGTCCTTAATAATAGATTAAATTATTAAAAAATTGTTTTAAGAGTTTGTTTCTATTACAATAATGTATGTTTATGTAAATTTATATTAAAATTAATATATTATATAATTAATCAAATAAACAACATTTTTTGTCAACAAATAACTTCTATATTAAATAAATTAAATATTTATTAATTAAACCATAAAATAGTCATATTTAAAAATAAATAGTCAATTGAAATACCATCAATAACCCAGGTCAGTTCAGTTTTGGGATTAGCCGGTCCAGCAATACACGTCTGAGTCAAAACGTCTCCAACTTTTCCTTGTTTTGGACCATTTATATCAACTTTGACGGCGGGAACTGTTAAACAACACATTTTATAAAAAATTACTATAATTTTATTAATTATATTTCAATTTAATCATTAAGTACTAATAGCTGAGTAATAAGTTAAATGTTTATAAAATATATATAAAATATTATACACTTTATTATGTTATAAAATATAAATCAAGTTTCAAAAGTGAACTCAATTTTACTCTTAATAGAGATATTAATCTTGTTTTTCTATTTTATAGCAAAATAAAAAAATCGGAAAATTATTCCCAAATGACTTAGAGAAACAAAACTGATAACTATTATAACAAAATTTCTAAAACCCTTGAAATATATATTTATATTCAGTAATAATTTATAATTTAATACATATATTCATTATAAAAATTTGATGTATAAATATATTTATATATTATTTAATTTTAATAGTTTTATCTTATTGTATAGAATTTTTAAAACATGATTATATATACAGTATTTAAGCAAATAATAAAATATATGAAATAAAGACTCACACAATACTTTGAGTTGAATTAAAGCAATTAAAGGCTGAGCGGTCACATCATTAGTGGCCTCACATTTATAAACAGCATTATTATCACTCGGACTGACTATAAATGTATATATATTAGTGGATTCGCGACCACCGGAACCGGAATACGTATTATCCACTTCTTCGCTGTCTTTATACCAAATTCTGGTTAAATTAATATAAAATTTACAAATTTAGTTAATAAAATATATATATTAATTAATATTTAATACAATTTTGCCAATGGATTTCCTCCACGACTAATACAGGCGAGTGTTAGTGTGTCGGTCACTCTAATGACATCTCCATCAGTGTATCCTTCAATTGATGGCAAACCGGGCGGATCTTAAATAGATTTCAAATAAGTAACGCCTGATGTGAGTCTAAATTGTGTTTAATTGATATGCGAGTCTATAGTAATAGTCTACAGTACATACAAAGCACACTTAAAGTGATGGTTGACTTTATCGGTTTTGTGAGCGCCGGGTGTTCGCCCTGACAGCTATATTGAACACCTTTTAACATAAAATATACAACAATACCAATGAAGCAGTGAATTATAAATAAAACTACAGAAACAATGCATACCATTATCGTCTAGTTTTGTATAAATATAAATAACACTTGAAGTGGACGTCAATTTACCAGATGTTCCCAAACCTTCACTTAATATAGTCGTAGAGATGTCTATTTAAATGTATTTCAAGTATGATTTCATCAATTTTACTTTCAAATCATTTTAAATTAAATATATTATTTATTTTTTAATGTAATAAATTCTTCGATATTATCATAAAATAAAAATAATCTGAATTATTACAAATATTAGCTTTAAAAATTATATTAAATAATTAAAATTAGAACATAAATCAATATTATTTACTAAATTAAACTATCAATAATTATTTTTTGTATTTAAAACATTTTAAATAAATTTTAATGACAGTTATATAATGTAGATTTGAAATTAATTTTAAAAACATTATTTATTTAAATAAGTGAACTAATAGCAAAATTTCTGTATTCAAATATATGATTTATAAAATAAATAATTGTGTTAATAAAAACTTTTTTATAGTAAATTATTTATTCAATAAAAATCATACAAATTAATAGCGTTTGGATTATCATAATTTAATGTATGAAATAATATTACGTGAATTATTCAATAGTAATACCTTTACTAAGAGGGACTCCATTACGAAACCATTTGAGAAGTGTTGGTGGCTTTGAAAGAGTGGTTGTATTACATAACAATCCGATTCTTTCGGCTTCTCGTACTTTAAGTCTATTGTTTGGTTGACTTTTGCTTTGTTTTGTTGTATTTGAGACAAACGGTCGGTTTATTGACAGCAACGAAATCTCATGGGGAGGGACTGGTAGTCATTTTATAGTGTATCAAATATATAGTGATGTGTATACCGGTATGTAAAGAAACATTGATCAAAAAGAAATAAAAGTTGAAAACAAATAATGAAAAAATTTATAAAATATATCAGTCGAGAGATATGTGAATTCCCTGAGCTCTAAATACTAGACATTTGTATGATATTCTTACCTAAAACAGTGATACGAGAGTTGGCTCGTATGGCTTTGTTGTCTTTTGTCGGACCTATATATACATTGCAACAAAATTAAAGACTTTTTCAGATTAAGCGATAAAAAGATGGATTTCATTGAAAACACCAAAAATAACTATATATTTGTGGAAATATAGTCTATATTCCCTATAGATTACATATTACAGCAAATATCAATCTCTATATAATACGTAAAATAAATCAATATATATTTTATGTGAAATATAAAATACTAAATAATAATAATAATAAACTATTTTTATTTAAAATATATACTTATTATTATATCTTTTATTTTAATTACTTTATAATTAAATTGATGATAAAGTAGAAAATATTTTAAATAAATAAAGGATTATTTTTATAATTTAAATTCACAAATTTTGCAAATTAAAAATGTAAATATTATTTTGTGAGTGAAATGTTTTTTAGAAATGTATTATTATTAAAGTGAATTTTGTAATAAAAACGCGATTACCGTTCATTACATAAAGATTACACAATGCATTACAATATTAAAAATGAATTATTTTGAAACAAACTTTCAAAAAAGTTTGTTTTTTGGAATGTATTTGTGTTTATATGTATCAATGTTTGAAATTTGGATTTCAGATTCGGTTAGAGTATCAAAAAATGACATCACATCAACAATATAGACAAAAATGATGGTCAAAATATTAAAAAAATTTAATTTTGAAATTTTGACTTTGGATTCATGGACTTTGGATAAAAATGTAGAATATGATTGTCTGTAATAGTATTTACCTATTTTTCATGAACAACATGGTCAACAAAAATAATTTTTCTAAATATGACCTAACTGATTTTTAAAATGCATATGTAGTATGTATTATGACTCAAATAAACTAATGGTTTTCAGCAATAGTATACTGTATATTGAATATAATTTGACTTCTATAGACTAAGGGTTGCCAGCAGTGAATATTTTGGTTATATTATGACTAATATTAATAATAAAATGACAAAATAATGGTTCTCAGCCTATTTAAGCCATTAAAGTTTGTTTCTGGAGATGCTTTCTAGCATTCTCAACTGGTTTATTTTATATATAATAAATATAAATTTTATTCTAATTTTATGTAAAAGTATGAAATAAATCAATTCTTTTGTTAAATTCTATTTTTATAGTTTTATTGTAACAAATACTGTAACATCAAATAATATTAATTATTTAATTATTTAATGGCGTGTATATATCCAATTGCATACCACATACAAGTTTTTTATACAATTTTAACATATAATTTTAAAATAAAATACAGTATATATTAAAAGTGTTAAATTTAAAATTATATAATCATATTGCTTACCCACTTGACACTCGATGTCACCTAAATTATATATATAACCAATATTAATGTTATTAATTTAAATGGCAAATAGGATTATAATTATAGTAATAAAAATCATATATATATACCCTCATCACTTAATAGTATATTTTGTATCTTTAGATTATAAACACCACGTTGTGTATCGACACTCATTGAATATCGGGGCCAACCAGGGATGTCAGCATCAAAACCTGATTATATGTTCATTTTATTAGTATATATATTATACACTTAATTAATAATTGATTTTTTTTACAATTATTTTTTATGTCTTCATTGGCGTATTAATATTTTGTATGTCATAATTAGGTTACGTAATATATAATCACAAGTAATGATTCATATAGTATTATGTAATTATAAATTTATATAAAATAACATCTATATTAAATTATTTATTATTTTGCAATTATATAATACATAAAACATATTTTAAAATTTAATGGGCTTTTATCATTATAATATTTTTCTATACATTTTAGATTCTGATTTTAAATTATTGATTAATATTAACCAACTTAATACAGATATATTTTTTTGGACTAATGCTGTATAAAACATCATTATTATTCATATACTAATCACTATTATGTAACTTTTGTCATAATGGGCTAAAATTTACTAATCATTTTAAAAATCTTATATTATTAATATTTTTAAATTAATTATGTTTATATCATTGTTAATTTTAATATTTTATATAATAATTTTCTTTAACAAATCAATATTATATTAAATTAAAAACAATTTTGTTCAATGGAAATTATAATGAACATAACATTTTCACAAAGTGTTAATATAGTAAATATTTATAATTTAATTATGTTTGTATAATAAATTAAAAAATGATTGTATGTTTATATATATATAATTTAATTATTATAAAAGTTTTAATAAAATTAATTTGAAATAATTTGTCAACTTTATTCAATACATTTTTATAAAAAAAAATAGTTGAATTCAATTAAATTATTTTATAAAAGCTTGAATATAATATACAAATTGAGAGTAACTTTAGTAAAATATTATGAATGCAATGAAACTGTGAATGACATGAAATATAAATTTATATCTAAAGGCAGCCAATAGTGTAGTATTGACCACAAAAACAGTGGCATTTCAATTGGATTTGTATTTCATATTAAACAAACAGTGAATGAATTGAAAATACAGAATAAGACATATTATTATAATATAAAACAATGAATTCCGTGTTTAAAGAAGTATTAGTTTGAAAGCATGTGATCTATCAGTTGTTACCAAATAAGATGTGAGTCTAAATCAGTTGGAAAGTCGTGAAAAATAGCTAATCGATAGCACAGTTATACCCTATAATATCATCCCTCTCTGTATTACTGTATAACTACTATGATATTACATGCATTCAAATGGCGTTACATTTGGACTATTAATACAAAACTGAGTATACATTGACTGTAATGATAATAATTTTGTTCACATTTCCTGTGGTTTATTTCAAATTAAATTCCGGTTTAGTTATCGACACTAACACTGAACTGAAATAAATATTATATTATTTAAAGCATTTAACAATGATTGCATGTCTACCAATAAAGTGATTGACACATTTAAATATATAATAAATATTGTTATTGTAACTATTAATATCTAATTATTGTTTAGTTCATTTACTTGAAATTATAATCAAAATTATCTAATATAATTCAATCAATATAAAAGCATATATTGTATACTGTAAATAAAATTATATGAAAACAAGAAATAATATAATAAAAATTATATTAACAAAAAGTTATTGATGTATACAGAATTATATTTATATAATGATTAAAACTAAAATATCATATTTAATAATGATTGTGACAATAATAAAAATATCACTTAACATCAAATGAAATGCTTTTATACAATAATATATATATATATAACGATGAGTTAGTCGTCTAATACTACAGTATAGTAGTGACTGAAATATAATGAATAAATACATTGAATGTGCTTTCAATGTGTTATGTGTTCAGCCATAAGGAGATGGCATTCAATTTGATTGCATTTGTATTCTCTGTTGAAAATATTCACTCAAACGAGCAAACAGTTGTCAACTTATTTATGTCAATGAACTCAGATATTGTAATATTTTTATATAAATTTTTAATATCATAAGTGTTTAGATATCTTTATATTAAATTTACTAAATATATCATGATAAATTTATAAATCATAATTTTTACACATATTTTTAAATGGATAATAATTTGTAAGAAACTATCAAATAGTAGCTATTATAAGAATAAAACAATAAGTGTTAAACATATATAATATATTATTATATTTATTATTTGTATAAACAGTAAAAATCTTTGCAATAATATATTTTTGCTGTATTTTTATCCAACAATAAGAGTACTATTAATAGTAGATGTGTTGAGTCAGTCAGCAGTAAATGAAGGGTTTTATTACAAATAAATAAAATAAAACATCTTTTTATTTCACATGTTTTCATACAATACTACCCAATGGGTACTCATTACACACAATTATACTCATATTTATTACATACTTTACTTTACTTTATGAAAAAATACTATTTATATAACTTTTCTAACGTAAGTAGTTCTCACTTAATATAATTTACAAAATAAAGAAAATATTTGTGAATTTTCTTTAAAAACATTTGTGTTAGTATTTACACCAAAATATAATAATTTTTATTTTTAAAATTTAAATTGAATTTATTAAATTATTTTAAAAACCAAATGCAATTCAATACAAATTACAATACATACCCAATAAAAATCCGTCTTTACTCCACTGTTTGTTGCAATAAATGGTTAAATATATAAATTTATGTAAATTAAGTCATATATTTTGATTTATTTATAAAGTCATTATATTCAGTAAAAATCAACTGTAAATTGAGTTTAAAGTTAAAACATATGCCAAATGACATTGTTTTGCACACACATTGTATATGAAAGATAAATGATATTATTTAATAAACCAAAGTTTAATGAAAACAATAAGTTTATCATTGACTTTATCAGTGACTATCCTATTATGAAAATTTTGATTTATTTTTGTTGCCATTAAATACAGTTATTCTATTAAAATTTAAATAAAATGTATTTAATCTTTGAATAAAAATAATATTTAAATGTTATTTTGTAATTAATAATTTTAAATTTAATGAATTAATACAACTTTTGTGTCAGTGTTTGTTATAATGCATATACTATTGGGATAAGCAATGGATTTGCTATAATTGAGTATCGATATTGTGTAATATATTGTTTAATATACTGTATATATGTGTTATATGTATTGGTGATGACCCACCTGAACAAGACCTGCCTGATTGGCGACCTGACACTGTAGAAGTACTTCTGAGTTTTCTACCACTTCTTGATGTTGAGGTCGCACTCGAAAGAATTGCTGATAAGCCGCCGACACATATGTATTAAATCGCGGAACAAATGCTGGTTCTTATGAGATATAAATTAAGAAATATGTGAAAAATTGTATACAATGTGATGATATACTTAATATATTACTGTGTGATTGTGTTGTATTGTTTCAAATAAATTATATTTAGTTTTTGTCATTTATTTTGTGATAACTAATAGCTATTGGGAACTAAATCAATGACGGAATGGCCAACTCTTAAATAAACGACTCTCTGGCTATGGGTGCTGAGGAAGGCATATAATAACGGAATCGGTTTAATCAATCAATGTTTATATCCAATGGCACTACTAATCGATCAAATGCCTGGACTTTCCGTCAAAACAATACCAAACAATCCGTTTGTTAGCAATTGATTTGTGATAATTCAGAGTTTATACTATAATATATATTATTTATTATAGCTATACATATAACAAATGATTTCACTTAAATATAAGTAATGATCAAATTTAGACCTAACAATGATTATAATATAAGTTATACAAATATATTCTATCGATAATCATTAATTTTTATTTTTACAAATATTTTTATCATAAATAAATTATACTAAATATAAATATACATTTATTAATAAGTAATTTATCAAAATTATAATCATAGTAATCGATAATCATTTAGTGTCCCTAATAAAATCACACAAATTTGTAATATATTTGCAATTTTTTTCTTTTTTACTCATAAATGTCATAAGTTTGCCCATAATTTTTATTTAATATCCTATTTATACTTTCAATTAAAATATATTTCATGCCATAATTTAACCCAAGGGGTCGGATGAGAGTTAAAGGGGTTAAATGGAGTTAACAAACTAATTGATAAAACTTAGATAGATATTGACAATATATCATATATTAAATATCATATTGTGTGTAAAATTTTAGATTTAATAAATTGATATTTTTAAATTATATTAATTTCTAGATTACTATTTTCTTAATTTTGTCGGACATTTTGTTCATCTTTTTTAAAAAAAAAACATTTGATTCCAAAGATTATTGTACTTTAATATTCAAATTTAAAGCCAAAAAAGCTATAGACTTAAGTAATTTTATGTCGGAGTTATAAACAAATTTCGATAATTTTATAATATATTATTAATTTAGTAATTTAAACAAAGATCAAAAATATTAAGATAATTATAGTCAAAATTAATTACTAAAATTGATAAACTTTAACAAAAAATCATGTGATATGAATATGAATATTTATTTGTTACATCAATACATGATATACTAAATAAATAAAGTTTATTTATTATTATAAATAGTCAATATAACTATTGTTATACTGTATATACTACAGTATATAGTGTATTATTTAGTGTGTTCTACAATATTAATGTTATTTTAGGTGTGTAGTACACACTGTGTACTGTATATTTGCTGCAATTGTATATCATTTTTACAGTTATAGTCAAAACTTAAGATGTTTGGTAGGARAGTCTGATTAATAGTAATTAACTAAATTGTACTCATAGTCTAGTCTATGGAAACATAATTTTATTTAAAAAAAACATTAATTAAATGTCACTTGTGATGGATACTAATACACTGTTTAGAATCATAAAGTAAATGATAAAAATTGTAATAAGATATCTATTAATTTTTAAAGTTTGATATTATTTGACAATAATGTACATATAGTTACTAAAGATATACAGTATTTTATAATATTAAATATAGTTTTGACCATTTCTTAATTTTTTGACCATTTAATAGAATACAATAGCTATAATTAATATTAATCTATGGTTATAAAATTTATGCAAAATTATAAAATTTGTTATTGAAAATCAAGACTAATGCTAAGTCTACTGTATTATACAGTATTTACATAATAAAATAACAATCATAATGTTTGATCAGAATTAAATAAAATAATTATAAATAACATTAACAAAATTATTTTTTAAATAATAAATATATCTGTAATGATAATTTTTTAGTAAAACATAATTACTTGATTATTAATAAATAATAATAATAATATATAAATACACTTTTATTTATAACTATAACATCAATAATAAATGATAATAATAAACATAATATATTTAATTTAATAATAAATAATTTAATTTTTGTGTCAATATAAAATTTAGTGTAACTGATATTTATTGTATTTTGTTAAAATACTGTAGTGTTTATTCATCACAGCTCACAAATTGTTTTCAAAGTCTATATTACTGTATATTGAATATTGATTTTTTCGTCATTTCATTTCATCATTTAGTTATTTCTAAAAATATATATTTATATTCAATCCTTAATATAAGTGAAACACTCAAACATTTTATGATTTATACCGGTATTTGTCGTATAAATTGCAGAGTCGACTAAATGAAAGATAAAATAAAAATAAAAGTGAAATTACTTTAATTCAAAGTCTTTTCTTTTGATAACCAATTCGTCGGGTTTTTGTTTATTTAATCGGATTATTATTCTTCTAATCTAACAATTTATATACTTTAATATATTTATGCCATTTATATTAAACTTACAAATAAATATAGAAATAACTCCTTTAAACCAAATTTATTGATTTTTTAAATAATACATATTAAAATTTAATAAAATTATATAAAAAGTTATGCAATAATACATAACTTTTTATATAATTTAAATGTACAGTTTATGATTTATATAATTATTTTTTATTAAAATTATAAACGCCAATAACTTAGCAGTTATTATAAACTTATATTAGCTAATATAAGTATTTTCATAGAATAACTAATTAAATTATTATAGATTTTATAAATTTACTAATTAAATTTAAGTAATTAATAATAAATGTTTTCAAAAATTAAATTTTTAATGTAAAAAAATTATTAGTATTATATTTACTCGAAATCTTTATTAAATAAATCAAATCTTTAAATATTAGAATTAATTGGTGCTTAATTTAAGGCTGTTAAATAAAATACAAATTTATGTTATAAATTATGACTTATAATAATAGTTGTAAATTTATATTTACAGTTTAGTTTACAGTTTTTTCTTTATATTTACACATATTTTATAATACATTTTTTAAAATGTTATTTAGTTTTAAAGATATTGTTGATTGCTTTCCATTTACAGTTATACTCCTTTAAACTAATGATATATTCTATATATTTAATATAATTTAAAATATTATTGTGAATATCATATTTAGAGATTAATTATATAAAATCTGATATTTATATTAAATTTTATATATTACAATTTTATTAAATGTTAGATATTTTTAAAAAATTTAATATTTTTTATTTGTCAAATACTAATAAATTATGGTAAATTAAAACTAAATAAGATGAAATACTAGTTGTAAATAAAATTAAATTTTAATATTTAAGTAAGAAAAAGTAAACAAAAATTAATATAAAACATGAAAAAATATTTTAATGTTTATCTATTAACTATTGTAACCAATATATTAAAAAATAAAAAACTGTTTCAATGTCAAACAATTTTTAAAATAAATTAAAAATCAGATCAAATAATTGGTTTAATTATATTAAAAAAGACATTAAATCAGAGACTTAGTTTGTCAATAACACTATTAAAGCTTTTTTAATTGAAATTAATAATATAATTGAGATAAATTACAAATTGTTAATAAATTTTTGTGTTAAAATTATTAAAAAATTGTTTAACTTGATTAGTTTTAATTAATTTTAATAAAAATTATTTTTATTAATAATTTTTAATGTAATATTGATTATTCAAATTAACTTTAACTTTAACATAACATATTAAAATTGAATTATTTAATAAAAATGAGTAAGATAGTTTAAACTACGTTAAAATTAAAATATATAATGTTATTTTAATATAATTCTGATTATTTTACAATTGTAATTATATTACAATACTATATTATTTTAAGATAATTAAAATAATGATAATTACAGCTTATTTATATAATAATGTTATTTATAAATTACTTTTATATTTTACATTTTAAGTGTAAAATTATTATTTATTTTTAAAATTTTAGTCAAAATAAAATAATTATTAACAATTTAAGAATTACCGTAGTTGAGTTTAAATATTAACCGGAAAAAATAATTAATATTGTTAATTTATCTAAATATAACATTATTTTAATAAAAATATCTAACATAAAAACTTTAAAATAATTTGTTTGTTCAAAAAAAGTAAATTACAGATAGAATATTATTTTAAGATAAATTAGACTAATAATTAATTATATTCTAAAATTTATTTTTTTTAAGTTTTGCATTTTAAAAGAAGAATTGTTTTATATTTTATAAATATAATTTAAATTATTTTTTATTAATTTAAGAAAATATTTCGAAAATTAAGGAATTTCTTGGGAATATTCCCTACTTTCCTATGAATTTTCTCCCATTTACACCATTTATATGGCAATTTTTGGGAATTTGGGACATTTTTCTGTTGACCCCATGATTTAATTTAAAATGGTTTATTGTTTTATTCAATTAATCACTTTGTTCTCGATTTTATGCGTTAATATGAAATTTATATAAATTAAATACGTAATATTAATATATATTGTAAATATAATTTAATAAAATTTTTATCTTGAAATAAATGCAATTCATAAACTATATTGAAATAATATTATATACTGTATGATAGTATAGTACAGTATAATACTGTATATTAATATACCGGTATATATATATAAATTTTATGCTTTGCATAATTGCTTTAATAAATAAAATTTTATTATTTATATATTATACAGCAATTTAGTGTTAACTAATCAAAATCAATACAATTGTTCAATGCTTTGGGCATTCCTTTTAATTAAACACAAAATTATACATTCAATAAAACTATTATATAAAACAAAATGTTTACACAATTTTTATATTTACTAGTTTTCTATTAATCAAAGTTAACATTATATACAATAATAAACAGTATTTAATTCTTAGTCAAATAATTACTGGATATTCATTCACTAAACATTGAACAGGAAATTAAAATATGCAAAATTTTTGCACACATTTTTAATTTCTATCATAAAATACATTGTT